GCTAACGTTCTTTGGGCCATGTTGTTTTTTCCATACACCATCCAATCAGCCTCCATCCTGTTGGGCTGTGGCTGTGTTTTGTCTAGCGGGGAAGGTCAGCTTTGTGGTACAGACTGTGGCTTTCCCTGAATCAGCTGTTTTAGTGGCAGTGGACGCTATCTGCTGTCTATTCTGCCTCGTGCTCCATCACGGGCAGTCAAGCCTGTTTGTGTGACTGAGTGACAGGGGTCACGTTAATTGCGGTCATCTATTTCAAGATTATTGGAGTATATTTTACAAGAAAATATTAGTAAACTGTCTACTAATCCAGTGTTTCCCAACCTTTTTTTAGTCGCGGCACCCTTTGGAAATTTTAACAAACTTGTGGCACCCTACAAAATTAATTTTGTCACAGTATTTGAATTTCTAACTTCGATGTGATAATTTGAAAAGTATAGATATCCGGTAGTTGAAGGCAATGAGATGTAACTTCATTATGTTCACACACACTTCACTTTAATTTTAATATCATTAAAGGAAAAGTTCCTTCCTAGAATCCAAACCCATATTGTTTTATATGCATAAAGCAAAAAGAGAAATTTTGAATCATGACCTACTGGTTACTCTTTTGCATGGAATCCAAAAATGGACACTTATGAACCATAGAAGGATCAAAAAAAAAAAAAAAAAAGATCATACATCTTATGCACCCTATTTCAATTCCTCTGAAGCTTTGTTTGATGCAAAGACCAAAATTTAATTTGTTACTCACAGATAATCTACCTGTGACCAATTTCACAATCAATGAATCATTCAAAGCATCTTAGTGAACTGAATCAATGATTTAGCGCAAAAATTATTTGAATTTTTTCAGTCATTGCATACCTTCAAAAAAGATATTGTGAAATATCTACTTTTTGTTTGTCACCTAGAGCTAGAAGAATTTGAATATAGCACTTTTACGATGTTTTTTTTTTTGTTTATGCAAAATGTTCTGTTTCACTGAAGAAAGCAAGTCATAGCTTTGGAATGACATGATAATGAATAAATAAATGATAACAGAATAGGAACTAACCCTTTAGTAGCATATTAGATAAAGTAACAATTCGATTTAAAAACCATAGTAACAATACAATTTAAAAAATTTCAAGACATAATTATATATATATATATATGCTTTTTTATAAAACAGAAAATTATATTAGATTACAATCATTTGAAATAATTGAATGTGATTTAAAATTATTTACATTCTCTATTATTTTATACTAACAAAACTGACTCAAAAGACACATCATTGTTCTTTTGAACTTCCTCTACAGTGCTTCTGTATTTCTACTGAATTACTCTTATGTTGAGTGCAAGAGCAAGAGAAATACAGATGTCACAGCAGTGAATCGCATGACTCCAACAGGGTGTGACCGAAGATCTGTGAGAAGGTTGTTAACACGTTTACTATCCAGGCCTCTCCCACTCGCCCCCATATATAAGCACACACACACACATACACACACACACACACACACACACACACACACACACACACAAAGGTTGCTTTTACACCTTCTTGTTTAATCATCTACTATTGCAAACAGCAACATATATGCCTCTGACTGTCCCTCGCAATAGATGACAGTCTCTGACTTTTAGTTCAGCTGAGAAGACAGTGCCAGGCATAAAACCATAACATTTGTTGTAAACCATAAGTAAATAGGTCAGATTTGAATGTGATGGGAAGGAGAGTGAATTACTCAAATGTAAGATGCAACACAAGTGTTCTGTTTTGTAGGGGGGAAAAAAGTTTGATTTAAAACCAACTAGTTAGTTGCCAGTGTCAGCCTGAAAGTCCTGAGATCTTCAAGCTTTTAATATTTAATTCATAGCCTACATAAGAACATAAATTGATAAATTGGGAGATTAATATTTACATTTGTTTTTTTTTGTGGGACACTAAGCACTCTGGTGACATAATGACTAGTCTTCCAGGGAACGGCCAACACTCTGTCTTACAATATGTCACCAAAGGTAATGAGTATTGATCACTTCATTATCATTCATGCGGCAACAACTTTAGTTATGTACAACACAAAGCAAACGAATCTAGCAATGATTGGTCTACAAGAAACATTGTTTGAAGCAACCTGATGAGCCTTGAGCAAATATCTAATATGACCTTGGCCAATCGCACACATTTTTCCTTTACTCTGCTGAAGCTGTCTAATCAAATAGAGATACTCTGATGGCACCTTTGAATTATGAGCCTTTTTTTTTATTTTTTTTTTTAGATAGAACGCAAACTAGCTAAATTATTCTGTAGTTGTAATTATCCAATAATATATGGGTATGTCAACTCTAGTATATATATATTTTTTTTAAATGTGTAGATAATTGTCTTGTCCAAGAAAACAGTTATACCAACAACCAGTGTTGGGAGTAACGCATTACAAAAGTAATAATATTACAGTAGTATATTACTTTTTGCTGTAACGCAGTAATATAACGCATTACTAATCAAATTTGGGTAATATTATTACTCGTTACAATCTCAGTAACGCAAGTTACAACAACATATTTTAACTCAAAATTAAGTGGTGAATTTACCAACACCGCAAAACAGCACCAGAGAAAAAAATCCCGCGGGTAAAATAGTTTGTCTATTTCCTGATGCTGGAATTAAATGGTTCTAGTATATATATATATTTTTTTAAATGTGTAGATAATTGTCTTGTCCAAGAAAACAGTTATACCAACAACAAGAACAGGAATACCAACAACAAAACACAAACGAATAATAATAATAATAATAATAATAATAATAATGTAGAATTAAAATTATAATTCTGTCGCTGAAATCATTGATCACTTTGGCTTATGAGACCATATTTGCACAGACATTGTGTCCCTTATTGTGTTCGTTGAATTCGTTTTACATCGTGGGGTCAAAGTACATGGAGGCAGCCTGATAAAGACTCTCTTTGTAGTGGCCTGGCATGCAATAAATAGGCTAGTATAATATATTTCATATATACTGTAGGAAAGCATTTATTTCCGTAATTAATTGTAAGGCTGTGGTTTCGATACGTGTATTCAGTTTTTTTTTTTAGCTGTTTATTTTAATTGACGGTGATGTTAAATTTTCTTTCCTTATTTCAATGAACAGCAGTGATCACTGTGATATATGCCTAATGTGTGTGAAATACGTTTCACCCATGCTCGCAATATTTCATATAATCAAAGAGTGGCTTTATGATCTCGCTTTAGTTCACTTTAGGGCTTCTGCAAGGTAAATAGGCCTTATTTAATATATGTGATTTTGCGTCTTACTTAAAAAAAAAAAAAACATTATCATTATTGTTATTGTTGATGATGACGACGACGATGATGATAATGCCTAGGCCTATATTTATTTGTAAACAACAATGCGATTTGTTTATTGTATTTGTTTTAATTAGTGGAATTAGTGCGATTAGTTCCTAATTATCACAGATGCATATTTATTTGACATTTCTTTAATTCTAAACCAGAAGTTCCGTTTTCGTCCTAAAAATAAATTGTTATTTGGTTTCGCTAAATGAAAGAAAGCAGACGATTTTATTTCACTGCGTCTTTGATTATTACTATGAGACAGACACATCATGGCAGAGCCGCTCATCTGTCAGATAACTGCAGGACAGACAGCAGACTGACGCCCGGATCATATTCACACGTGCTCCTAAACTGCCTCATAGCGACTGTAGGCTACTAAACTATTGACAAATACTCCAGTTGCAAGCGACTATGAAAAAAAAAAAAGTTTTTAAAAAAAATTATTTTATATTGCACAGTCATTTTTTTCTCATATAGTGACAAGAGATATATTTATTTAAATAATAACCCCTGGTGCATAATAAGAAATACACTGTCTTAAATAGCCTACATCATATAAAACAACAACGCAACTTTTTTTTCTTGTAAAACATTTTTACAATGGCTTCAGATACCTGTTTTTGACAAACACTGTTCTGAAATTATTTATCAATGTATTATTATAACTATCGTTAATAATATAACATATCAATAAATATGACGTTTTTTTTAATTATGACATGCATGGGTGTTTAACTCGATTGTGCAATAACAAATCATAACTCAAATAATATCATAATTCAGTGTTATCGAATAAACTGAACAACAAAAGAGTCACAGACTTTCAAATGATTAATCTAATTGACAACCTCCAATACTTGATCAGGTCACAATACAATGTATATTCCGCTTGAATGAATTATCTGCTGTTCAAAGTGAAGCACTCAGTAATGCCTATTGCCCGCTGGGTGTTTGTGTAGGATCTCTTGCAATCCTAAACGATGCCCCATCGCCTTAGATGAACTAATTAGCAACGAGCCTAATTTGCATAGCACAGACAAAGTTCAACATCAAAACAAATAGAAGAGTAAAGTGATTTCATCATTCTGTGTTCGTGATTACCCTCACATTAAACAATTTTACACAATTAAAATACAACATAAAATGTATTCCTAAGAGCTTATTATCATTCAGATTTGGATACGGATTTTAGTCATCGAAAAGGCATTTTTTCTCGCTTACATTTTTAAACTGTAACATTGGAAGTATAATTTTTTTTAAAGAACTGCTATAAATTAAATCGACATTTTATGCCGGCAAATTAGGCTGGCGCCACTTATGAACTGCTTATAAATTATTGCTTTAAATTAGACTACAATTTCAACCAACTTGCACTTGTACTTCATAGAAACATATATAGGCTAGGCTATAAAAGTCCGCTGAGCCAAACAATTTGTTCCGTCCCTTTGAGAAAATGTAGTTGGATTTATAAGACTCGCATTTTCCATTCGACATCAAGGACATCAAAACTAAATAAGGTGGAAAGTGAAGAGCAGCACCCCTATCGAGCAGATGTGTTTGCTCAAGCTGGAATCCAATCAGAGGCTCGGAGCACAGGAGGCAACCTCCTCTCTTAAACATCGTCACGAGTGAACAGAGAACTTTCATTCCTAATAGTTCTCCAAGTCCTGCAACCACATAACCGCTGGATCCTGCGAACACCAACTTATGGCAAACCACCAATAGGTCAGTGGAGACTTTTTTCTTCTCACATATATAAATGTCTTCTCCTGCTTTTGTCAAACTTGTCTTGGTGTTGAGTTCGGTGCCAGCTGAGGAGAGCCTAAATCATTTCGGGTATTGTTTTTTTTTTCTTTACCCTGCCTCTCTCTCTCTTATCTTTTGTGGGTCTTATCAAGTGGTTATCTCTTTTCTGCAAAGACATATTACGTTTAGTTTCCTATCTGTTACGTTGTGTGAGTTTTTTTTGGTAATTATGATGAGGCTACATCAAGAGGGAGGACTCATGACACGGATGGATTCAGATCTTCAGTGTAAAGCCCTGTATGGGGTGTGTATGTGCGTGCGCATGTGTTTTCTGGGAATATAGTGAAGTTGTGTTCAGTCAATCGCGTCATGCAGCTCAGCTTTCAAATTTAGAATATTACAAATGGCACAACAATCATGAATTATTTGAGTAGGTTTGTACTTGACTGTTGCGCGCTTTCTGAAGTGAAACTCTCCGTCCGCTATAAAAGAAAAAACTTAAAAAACTCAACTTGTTTTGTTTGCTTAATGATTTGAGATCCTCTAAAAGTAAAATATTTGCGTTCTCTCGTTTCGTTTTTCTCATTTATATTATTCTCCCCCAACGTATCTCACATTTTATGTTCTCATTTTCAGCGCATTCTGCCTCTGTATTTTCCACATACTGTGAGAAATAAAAGGGATCCTGGATGGACCTGGGTGATAACAGCTGGTCCATGGTCAAGCGCGAAGTGTCCAGCAGCAGCCCAGGGTCTCCGGCTGAGCAGAGCTACCTGAACACTGACCGCAGGGACCGGCTGAGATCACCTGCGCCGACGCACCTGGACGCGGTGGGAACGCGTCGCGCCGAGGGCAGGCCCCTACACTCCTACGTCCACTTTGGCCACCCCAACAACGCCCTGCCCAATTCTGACGACGTTACACTCTTCACGGATTTAGACCAGGGCAACAAACTCATCATCTCAGGTGGGCACACCAGGGAGACGCATAAGGGAGGCTTAATTGTGGACCCTACCGACATGTATCAGACCCTGGCCATCGCCGCGGCCCAGAGTCAGGCCGGTTATAACGACACGCCATCGGCCGGTTACATGCACTCCAACCCTAATTCTCCCGTTTATGTGCCGACGTCTCGCGTTGGAACGATGATACCGAGTTTATCGTACCTACAACCCAGCGTGTCATCGCAGTCGAGCCATGCGGTCAGCAGTCATTCGGTCTGGTCACAGTCCGCCCCAGAGAGCCCATCCTACAGCACTGGAAGCCCACATACCTCCAACCGTTTCCACTACTCCCCCAGTCCGCCTATGAATAACGGCACATCGAGGGAAACCAGCTATACGAATCCTCTGAATGTAAACAGTCGAGACCAGTACCTTTCACGGCCGATAAGTGGATCTTACACAAGCCCGTATCCTCCGTATGTTGCACCGCAGCTATCACAGTTACCGGCGGCGTGGCCCGCGGGGCCCTTCGACAACTCCATGCTGCATTCCCTGCAGTCCAGAAGCGCACCGCTGTCTATCAGGGGGCCAAACGGAGGTAAGCTATGGCTGTTCATCATGTCAAAAATCTTTTTTGGCTGTGAATTTCAAAACCTATGTTTCTCTGACATTTTGGGCAGCGTGTGAATAATTCAATTATTATTATTAACCTATTATTATTATCATCATCATTATTATTATTAGACTATATTTGTAATAAATGTATTTATGTAGCCTATTTGTTTATTTGTTTGTTTGTTAAACGGCTGCTAAATGATGAAATGTTAAGGCACAGGTAATTTTCGGGGTGCAATCGTTTTAATATGGCGCCATTCTCACACATAGATCAATGTCAGAAAGATTTTTAAAACACAACATTAAAGTTGTGTGATTTATTTGTAATACTTCTATCAAATGTCTTAGGCCTATATATATATGCAGCTTGTTTGGCGACAGGTGAAAACACGAGCTATCGGACATTTTTTTTCCTGACTTTTTATCGTTACAGAAACAACAGGTGGAACCTTTTGCTGCGTATGTGGAAAAAAAACAATAACTTAAAGAAACTAAAATATATTGCTGTATGTTATGTAATGTAAGCTATACCTGGCTATTTTTAAGAAATTAAAAGGAATGCATTTAATTAACTAACTCTATCGTTTCAAACCAAAGTTCAAAGTTCAAATCACAAAGAATGTTTACAACAACACAGAGAGATAGCGGTGTATAGTCTAATTAAACTTTTGATGATAACGCCATTTACAAGTTTGAAATTATTTTAACAAAAAATAAATCCGAGGCTATCAACGAAGTTCTGTTGTATCTTTTAGTATAGCTAAAGTTTCTGATTATAGCTATGCATTAGTGGCCGTGTTACAGGTGTGCATGTTATAAAAATAATTGCGATTAAAATAAAAATAGGTAGGTAATTACAAGCTGTAAATAATAGTAGGGCCTACACAAAATAACAACGTGGACATTTCAGTCTAAATTTAATTAAGACAAAAGAGTTGCAGAGGAAACCAATAATCACATCTGTCATTAATGCTATTAGTCTGTTACAATGTGTCATGTCTGCGCAATTAATTTGGCACACATTGAAGTTGATGGTGAATGTGATGTTGACTGACGGGGAACTGTCTGTGTCTCAGATTTGCTGGAGGACATGATGGAGAGCCGCGAGTGCGTCAACTGCGGCTCCATTTCCACCCCGCTGTGGAGACGCGACGGCACGGGTCACTTTCTCTGTAACGCCTGCGGTCTGTACAGCAAAATGAATGGACTCAGCCGACCATTAATTAAACCTCAGAAGCGTA